CTATCTATAATTGTTCTCTATTATTCAAATAATTCATTTATAGCATTTCTAGACTTTTGTCTTTATTAAAGTAAAAAGTTATGAATTTAATTTCTCAAAAAGGGATATAAGTAATCTGCAAAATTTTATATACTAAATACTTTAGGAACCCATTATTAACTATAGGTAGAATTTAGAATAATTTATAGTAATAATCTGTAGATAATAATTTTATTGATTAGAATTTATCAAAATTTGTAAGGAAGTAAAATATCATTTCTTATGTTGTATTTAAAGAAACAACTTTTTGATAATAAATAAATTAATATATATAATAAAAATCACAATATTTTATAAATATTTAATATATTTAAAATAAAAATATGTTATATTATTCTAATTATTAATTTAAAAAAAATAAGTTTTTGATAAACTTAATATATAATAAACTATTTATATTTTAAATACTTAAAAAAGAAAATTTAAAATATATTTAAAATTAATTTATTAAAGATATGAAATACATAAATTGACTCTATAATACATTCAAAATAAATAGAAATTTAATAAAAAAATTAGTTCAATACTTTTTTGAAAAAGTAAAATTATAGTTAATAATTGAGTAGTTATAGTATTTAAAATAAAATAAACATATAACTTAGAGAGATATAATAATAAAATTAAATTATAAAAATTTGATATATACTATAAATATTATAAAAAAACAAGATCAAAATTTTAAAAGTATATCTTAAAATTTATCACAAAATTAAATTAAATATCAGAATTTAATAGTAATTGATTGAAAGAAATATTAATAATTATTCAAAAAAAAAAAATTAAAAAGATATAAAAATTGATCAATAATAAAAATAATATTATTTTAAAAAAGAAAAATAGCTTAATTTTAATAGAAAACAATATTTAGTAAAAATACTATAATTTGAAAAAAGTTTTAAAAATTATTAATATATGAATTATAAAAAATAATAAATAGTTAAATTTTTAATTTATTAAACAAAAGCTTTGATATATAATAAATAATAGATAAGAAACTTGTTAATTAGAATTATTAAGGAAATAAAATAATTTTTTAACAGGGAATTAAAAAAAAAAGTTTTTTTTATGAAACTATTTAATAATATATTACTTATATTAATCAGATTCAAGTTGTGCAAATTAGATTTATATAAACAAGCAATATGTATTATATAATAAATAAAAATTTAAAACACAATTTATAGAAGAATAAAAAAAAAAAAAAGAAATTTGAAGTAACAAATATAAAAAAGTAATCAAATGAAAAAAGTTATAAAATCAAAAAATTATTATTAATTCAGTTTTTTTAAAAAACTAAAAAAAAAGTTATACGTTTATATAAAGAAACAGAAATAAAGGATAAAGAATTTATAAATATGTTAAATAATTGAACTAAAAAGAAATTCAAATAGTTGAAATTTTAATCTTAGATAGAATTACATAGTGAATCTATAAAAATGAAATAACACATTATTTTTAAAGAGTCGATATATTAGGTCACGACTATCACGTGACTTGAAATGATAAATTTAAAACCAATTGCATGCGCAGTATATACTGTATAGTACAGTATATTGGTTTTTTCTTTCTTTGTTAAAAGAATGGAAGAAATACGTCAAATTTGTTTTACAATGATAGCAGCTGTGTATAAGTGCATTTCACGTTTACACTACACTTCATAATTAAGTGACAAAATCTCCAAATATTCTAAACTGATATAATTTGCAATGTAGCTGTGGTGATGGTTTGAAATGCACGATCGATGGTAAATCAAATCAATTTCTGATATGACCAATGATGTGATCGTTGAGACAAAGTTGCATTTTCAATCGGCTCAGTAAATTCCGGAAATTCCAAGTGCACAATCAACTTGTGGTCATTTATGAAGGTCATTTGGACGGATTAGAGATCAGCCGAACTTCGCTACCGCTTGTTCTCGTAGGAAGCATAATTTTGCCATGGTTGAGATAGATGAAGGGCGATGTGTCTGGCATAAAGAGTAGAATGGATGACGGAAATTGATGCAATGGTGAAGGGGTGATGACATGCGTCAAGAAATAGCCGAATCGAATGAATATCCCCGATCACCATTGAGAAAAACACCGCTAGTGATTTAAATATAGTGATTCCCTTTACAATAACGAATTCCGACGTGTAGTAAGTAGTTGATCGAGATGATCTCTCTATGTCACGTGTGCTGTGCTGAAGATACGCGCCGCACTTATTTCCCTTTTTCTTCTTCTTCTTTTTTATTTCTTCTTTTCCTTCCTTTCCTTTTCCTTTCCTTTCCTTTCCCTTTTCTCCTTCTTTCCTTTCCCTTTTCCCCTTCTTTCCTTTTCTCTTTCTCTTTTCTTTTCTTTCCTTTTTCTCTTTTCTTTCCTTTTCTTTTTTTCTGGCTTCCCGACGCATGCATTCCACAAAAACGCCATTCTTTGGCTTGCGTGAATCCTCCACACATACACATGCACAAAAGTATAAATATCCAAGGTTTCATTATTGGAATTCACAGGGCATTCGTCATTGTGATGCGGTTGTATGAGAGGCTTTTGCAGATGTATCAATTGAAACATAATCAGATTGTGCATCAAAATTTTCGTTGTTCCTGGCAGACCATAGGTTATTTTTAGGAACGCATGAAAGCTCCTCGGCGAAATCATATGGTTAACGATACATCATCCATCCATTTGATCCAAAGAAATAGCACCTTTCCCTTTCCACAATTAGGTTTTGCGTGCCGGATTTAGTTTAATTATTCAAGATTTGTCGTCTAGCCAAATATGGTCAAGAAGTTCGGGATCTGAACATTGTACTCAAAACTTCATTGTTCGACGTTCCCTCCCAAGTATCTTTTCGCGCACCATTCTTGCATGCAAAAAAATATATATAGAGTGAGGCTCTCATTGTTTTCTCTTTTAGCATAAGCTCAATGGATCTTTTTCATTTCCGCTAACCAAACTTGTACCTCTCTTAATTCAGAAAAAAAAAAAAAAATCTTTTTTTTTAGCATCCATCTTCACGATTTTCAGATGGTGCAATTGTAAGGGAGATGAAGGTGCGGGTTTTTTAAATTTATTCGGCCGCCATCTTACCTGGACATATGTCTGTCAAACATGTAATTGTATCCAAGAACGATTGGCGCACAATGATAATCCATTATGATTTAAACCGCATATACAGTATATCCGGCACATTGAAATGCCGTAACTTGTGTTTGTTCCCTAGGAAAATTAAACTTTCACCAAATACATTGAATGGACTACATAAAAAGAAGGAGATAAAGAAAGAAGAATAGATATGGTGCATGCGTGTGAGTGGTTTTTTTTCTTTCTTTCTTTCTTTCTTATGCGAACAATCGGAATAGAGATGGTAGATTATGTGTGTACGGTAGGTATATAATAAAAGGATTTTTTATTCGCGCGTCACTTTGAAGAGTGGGTTCTCTCTTATCAAGATTCGAATTTGTGCCACCATCAACTGTTGACACCTTTTAGACGCACCACGTAATTAATATAGGTCCATTCACTTTTAATATTAGATTCCAACATTCCATTGTCGGTCTAAAAGTAGAATTAAATTTAAGGAACAATGGATGTTTCTGGGAGGAAACCTCGGAAATAATAATTTTAAGGAGGTGTACATATGTCGCTGGCAGTGCAGGAGGCGACTTCTTTTTTTATGCGAACAACTGCACAATGCTTTAACAATAGGTCATTCCCGATTGCGAACGGAAGGTGAAAATCCCGGGTTTCTACCATTGATGGACAAAGAAAAGTTAAATGACGCATCGTCGTGTACGGGCGGCGAACCATAAATGAGATCAAAAATGGATGAGGTATTGAGCAACTTATGTCTATGTGTGATGTTAAATTCCCGAAAATCCTTTTGATGCATATTATATAAATAAAGTTGAACTGTGACGACCATTGTTCGAGTTATTGGTGACAATTTGAGTGCCTGCCAACTGTGAAACTGGTGGTCACTTCGTAGGTCGACAAACATTTAAACATTTTTGTTCTCTTTATTTTTGAATGCCGAGAGATTTGGTCATTGTTACCGTGGTTCTCCAGAGGGGAGGAAAAGGAATATAGAAATCCGCAAAAAAAGAAAACTATTAGACCCGAAAAAAAAACAAAACAAAGAAACTCGCCGTTCGTAAGGAATTGAGAAGTCGGATCACGTAATCCATTCATTCTTTCACCATCGTGAAAATTTTGGAATTCAAAGAGTTTGCCGCCGCTACCACCCTTTTTCATCCTCAGAAATCTTCTTTGTGAAACGCATTTCCCGGGGACAGAAATATTTGCAGTTCACCTTTTTTCATTATTCAGGTACGTACGTGTGCTGCTCGCAGATTGTTTTCAGATTTCATATAACTTTAAATTCATGTGCCAAGAGACAAAGTACAGTAATTGCGACCAATTTGATTTTCGGAAATAACATTTTTTTTTTTTTTTATCTTATCTTACGCTTTTCTTACTTTTTTTTTTTACAAAAAAAAAAAAAAAAAAAAAAAAAAATTTCGTTGGAAAGTATAACAAATTCAATACATGCAAAAAGAATATTCAGCCACAAATGTATGAGCTAATTGAAGGAAAAAAATGAGAAAAGAAAAAGAAAAGAGTATCTTTTCAATTGACGCTAAAAACGAAAATAACGCGCATAATGGATGTGAGTCGCATATGCCTGCGCACAAATTAAAGACCTTATAGAGGTACTTTTCGAAATTTGAAACTAGAAAAATTAGACAACGAATTAAGTTGATTGATTATACGCTAAAGTGGTATAGACCCTTATTGGTAACGATTGATTGTATGGTAACAAAAAAAAAAAAAAAAAAAAAGCAAACGAAAATCGCTGAAGTTTATGTAATTATGCGAATGTACGATCGTGTTAGTAATGGGTAATTGCTAGATAAAAAAAAAAAAAAAAAAAAAAGGAAACAAAAACCCTTTAACAACCACTTTCCTACTTCTTGTGAATTTCTAACGTCCGTTAGCCAACACAGTCGCCCTTTCCCTTTGTCTAAATATTAGTTGGCCACCCTCGATCGCCTTTTCGACCTCCGCGATTAATCTCTCTCCCCACTCTGGTACGGCTCCTTTTGTTTCTGCTCCGCTAGGTCCGTTGTTACCGTTGGCACCGTTCCAACGAGGAAACTTGGTAGTAATGGCTTCGAATATTTCCAGTTTCAACTCTTCCTCTAAGGCCACTTGAAATTTGGTGTAAATGCCGTACAATGAGTAAGCATACTGATCTATCGCATATTGCAGGCAAGCGGAGGCGTGAAGCAATGATTCGAAGAACGGTTTCATCATGTGTGTTCTTGTAGGAACGCGTTGTTCGGCGGAATTCTCGAGCACCGAAGCGGAACAATCACGGAGTCCAGGAGGGGGCGACGAACTTTCACCAGTTTCGGGGCAGGGGGAATATTCATCTCCTCGACCTCTGCATTGCTTCACCATTACCCAATTTCCTTCTTGTTCTTCTCTTAAGATTATGGTTTCGTCGTCGAACGCATCACTCTCTTTCTCCTGCCACTCCCTTCCGATCAACTGCCATGCACCCCTTCTGAGTTTTTCAACAACTGCGCTCCCAACTTTCTCCTCGTCGTCGCACAAGCCTATTCCTTCATAAAGCAACTGGCGAACCTGAACCATCTTCTGGGTGCACCTGATAAACCAATCGATTCCTTTTGGGTCATTAGGTGCCGCATAGGGGATCTTTGCCATATTTTCCCGGAAAAGGCGCATGCGTCCTTGTTGATCATATTTACAATGATGAGAAAGAAAGTGTTGTATGGTAGTTGAGTTGAGCAGCCCAAGAAAGAAGTAAGGAGGCAGCTGCGTCGTTTGTTTAACCGTAAAATATATGCACTTATAAATAAGAAAGAAGCATCAAGTCAATTTAGGGTAACGGCGAGCACATTCCCGGAGGTCACTCAAATATGATCAATAAGAACCGTGAGTTTTCCTTTTTTCCTACCTGATTCGTTACGCAAACGTAATTTTCATCGATAAAAAATCTCTGCCTTGGCTGTTGTAGAATTAAGAAAGAAGAAAGAAAAAAAAAATTAAGTAAAGAAAAAAAAATTACAGGTGTATGTATGTATGTATGTATGTATGTATGTATGTATGAGTATAACGGATCATGATGTGCTAAATTTTTTTTTTTTTTTTTTTTGATGCATCATATACAACAGGCCCCACGCGAAGTCGTGTTTTTCCGAGGGATGGACGTTGCAAATTCCTATTAAGGAAATATGATAACAATAAGTACCTGATTCTTCGAAAAATAACCATAATTGATTGGATGAATAATTTTCGTTCGCACATCAATTCTGTATGTTTTAAGATACGAAGGATTAGTATGACAGGATAAGATAAATAAAAAAAAGAGATATATCCTCGTTATTGCCAATTATGGTAAAATGATTCCCACGCGCATTGTTGCGGTTGCAGGTTAAAAATGATAGTCTGGAGAGACTCCAAAGTTTGCATCGAAGCAATTGAAAGCCGCCTTGAATGAACCCGTGGTTTCACTCAAGGTGTATGCTTGCATAGTTAATAGCAGTTAGCGCATAATTGACAATGCTAGACGAGCTTATTCAACTATTTTTTGTGGAGAGGATATAGGCACTTATTTTCATATCAAAAACGAATGAATGAATAAACTAATTGGACCCGAAAAAATCGCCACTCACCCGCATTTACTGGTTCCACAATACGCAACCTCCCTCGAGGTCATTCCGGTTTGTAGATGTTTTCGGGCTTCTTTTAGGTAGTGCCAAAATTCGCTGTCTTCTCCGACATCCTTGCGCACCTTTTCGATCGCGTCACGATCCACCATGATCAACGAGTACATTGATATCTCGTGTTCTCCTACCGCGTCTTTCATCGGTCCATAGTTGTAGGAAGGGAAGGGCACGTAGGCTTCCGCGGGCGAACTCTCCTTTTTTTCAAGGCGCAATTCGTCACCCATCTTCTGCCAGAAATCGGCTTCCTTGCCGCCGTTTTTACCATTCCAATAGAACACCGGACGCAACCAAACTTCACACACGTCTCGACCAAATTTAGAATACGCCCAAGAGGTACGGACGACAAGAGCGTACACGGGATTCGTATTGGGACCCCGGTGCCAAATTAGAGGGTTGCGCTCAAGCCAGGTAGGCTTCATGCTTGAATGGTCGCACAAGGAAGGGAGGTTCACGGTAATCGAGCGAAGGTAAGCGCTCACGACGGAGGTTGGCATCAGGAAGGTGAATGAGTAGGAGTTCGTCGGCGACGGGAGCTGAGTCTGAGGGTAAGGTGGTGTTATCTGGTAATGCATGTCCTTGTCAAATTGATTCAGATTCGGGTTGAAATTTGTGTAGGCCTGTAGCGTCTCCTGGAGGGTCGCCTTGCGATTCATGTAGCGCAAGAAGATGATGGGCGATTCGACGGTGATGTTGGACGGTCGAACGAGGGACGTGCCGTTTGACGGGAGAGGTTCGCTTCGACGACGCAGTCGAAAGATTAAAGAGTCGGTTTGTATTTTTCGCCACACCTTGAACGGTTCGAATTGGAAGAATTCCACGAGGTAACATTTCTGCCATAACCATGCTCTGAGTGAAAAAAAAAAAATTTTTTTTTTAAAACGTGTTTCGTTGGCGAACTGTGTAAAAACGGTTGCCTCGTAAATCATTGTTGTTGTTACCTTAGCTTGTCGGCGAACTCTAGTCCCATCCATTGACTCGCTTTTGGGTAAATGGAAAGGGGGGGAGAAAAAGAGAAGTGAGATAAATTGTGTTTAAAGGTGTTGAAACGATAAATGCTAAATATGGTCGTAAAAAATTGCGCATCAATCTTGATAAAACAAGTTGGGTACCGGATTTAAGGTCACCGGCGCATAAAAACTATAAGATTCGCTTACCGCTTATAAGGCAGACCTCACCGATCTCTTCTTTGCACCTTTCCACGCAGAACCAGAAGAAATATGCGTATGCCTGCATGCCCCCTTTTCCTAACACCCTTTCGTCGAAGAGCTCACTGTCGGGCTCCGAGATGAATCCCGTCTTCCGGATCATGTAGGGCGGGTTGGTGACGATGTAATCGAACTTGAGAAGTTGGGGTGAGCGCAGTAAGCATAATTTCTCGTATTCCCACGCGCGCTCCGGTTTGAGGTATAAATTCAAAGTGTCATTACAGAAAAGATGCAACCGTCCCAATTTAAGGTCATCGGAATGTGACAAATGGTGGAAACGTTTGTACAAAGGTAACATGTGTATCGTGATATTAAGTTTACAAAGGTGGAATGCGAACGCGTCGATTTCTATACCCCAAAGATTCTTGGTCAACGACTGCAGTAGGTGAGAGATGGCAGTCGGATTGTTCCACACATTGGGACACTGTTGAGCGGCCAACGTAAGTCTATTGATAAATTCACATAGAAAAGATCCGATACCCATACAAGGATCTAAAACGCTAGGAGATTGAGGAGGAAATCCCCAGGCAGGGGACGCGTTTGTGGATTGATGATGGATGGGGAATCTCATTAAATTTGTGTTGGCGGTGGTGATGGTGGGGGTGGTGGTGACGGTGGATTGAATGGAACTTCCACCAACTTTTTTGACCAGAGTATCACCGAGTAAAACGCGATCCCACATGAAACGTATCACCTCTCTCGGGGTGTAAAATTGACCGTGATCTTTTTGATGCTCTTTGGCGAACACATTTAAGAAATGCTTTGTGTAAAACATTGACAATATCGATTCGACCGTTTCTAACGTTGTAAAATTAATTGAAAATGATCTAAGATGAACCGAAAGGTCACAATAATATTGATGTTGTGGACGTATAACTCCGCGATAGTACCAGTTAAAAGCATCTAAATTCTCATTGTTATTATTTAATTCACAGTCATTAATAGATTGTCGAGGATGTTGGAAGAAATTGTCCTCTTCGTGAAAAATGTTCATGAATCTATCTATTGACATGCGTCTCACGCGTAAATCTTCTTCACGATCACATAAAAAGTCCATGACCACCAATTCAAAAAACATTTGAACTACTGTTAGAAAGGAAGTCATTTGACAATAAAATTCGAACGTATGACGATAAATTTCCGCTTCATGCGCTAGAGGATTCGTCGAATTGGGAGCCGAGAGTATGGTACACAGATGATCCACGGATTTTATGGGCTGCGGTTTATTTGCAGGAACTGAGGATGTTTCATTTACGAGTTTATTGAACTCCCGAAGGAAGCATGCGGGGACCAAAGAATGATCTAGTGGCAAAAATTCAAGGAATGTAAAAGCGATACCAATCGTAGGCTGCAGTATGTGAACAGAGGAAAGGATGAAAGGATTCGCAGTGCTTTTTTTTTTTTTCTTTCTTTCTTTCTTTCTTTCTTCCCTTCTCTCGCTGACCTATCGAACTTTCACCTCCTCCTTCCCCTCCTCCCCCCCCGGAGTTACGTGTCTCACCTCTCACCACCCCCACCCCTTCCCCCATATTCCTCTCGAGGAATGTGTGTGATAATCTTACCTTTGTTTTGACTCAGGAAGGTTGCCCAAATGTTCGACTTGATATCATCCACCATGCTTCCCAGAACCTCAACCACCTTACCTATCAAATCTTCCGAGGGAACATTTGTCGAGAAGGACGAGGTGGAACAAGAATCCTGTCTTCGAGGTGGACAAGGCGATTCACCGGATGTTGAAAAATTTTGCGCAGGATTCACAGGTTTAAAAATGAATGGAGTGGTGAATGCCGTATCGGAATTAGGTGGCGTCTTACGCTGCGATGGATTGGATGGAGTTTGAAAGTAATAGTCGCAAGTTTAGCTGCTAGGATCCACTTCTCGTTCGTTAAGGACCTTCTTTAGCCAGTCGGGTACATCGTCGTTGTGCTTCGTGCGATGTTTCTTCGTCGGGGGCACGAAGTCTTGGACATTTTCGTCGGGACTATTACTAGCATTCGGCATGGCGTCTAATTAAATGAATGTTCTTTGTGTTAATACTACTGTTAGATCTCCCGGAGGGATGGTATGCGTTCTATTGTTATTGAAGGAGGTCTAGTAAGCCACCGTTTTTGCGCATATTCAAAACCGTTGGCGACGGTCGTGCTTTCGCGATGAAAGAAAACGGTCACCTATTTGCACAAACTTCCCACTCGCGCTAGTCGCAGGAATAGTTGTGTTCTGACGCTTTTTTGGTTGAATAGGTTAACACAAAAGCGATGGCAAGGTCAAATATGGCCATATGTTTCGACATTTAATGTTTCTTTACACAAACGGATTATATTAACGTGCACGTGATGATGAAAGGTTAGTGGGTTTTAAACATTCAAAGGAAGCATCAATCATTATTATATTATTATATGCATCGGTGTATTATATGAACCCCCAACCGTGTGCAGACCCGTTCTCACCTGTTTATGTAAAACCTTCTTTTTTTTTTTTTTTTTACAGAACAGAATGATTAGTTTTTTAGAATCTTGATATGGTAGGGACATGCGCAGCTAATCCCCTTTGGTACAGAGCCTGCGAAAAATCCGGCTGCGAAAGTATTGCAATTTTTAGATTCATACAGGTTAAAAATTTCCGTTTTCAGTGT